CCATGTAAAGAATTCAACTCTATTCTGCTTGGAATTAATCTTAGTATTAGAGAAAAGATGCTTCGATACCTTTCTTACTACTCATCAGACATTTTGTTCATCTTATTCATCCTGGAAGTAGGTGCTGCTATTCTATTTTTACATTGTTTTACTTTTATTATGGTTTTAGATTTTGGCCATAGGGTGTTGTGCACTGGCCTGGAAAGAGACACAGTGAAAGTGAGAAATCACCTCCCAGGATGGGGATGGCCAGCTACAATCCCTTCTCCTCCACTTTCCTCTCAAGATTTTGGGCATATAAGCACCCACACCTGGTGTGTTTTTCAAACCACCAGTCTGGGACTCAAATATTCAGTTGGCTATGTGGGATCCAGTACCTTACCCACTACACCACCTGTTGGCCCCTGCTATTTATATTTTACAGATGAGAAAACTGAGACTCAGAGAGATTAGGTAATGTAATCAAGGGTACCCTGTGAGTAGGTAGAAGCACCAGAGCTGAGATGCAAAGTTCCTGCTCCCTGCCCCATCTCCTTTCAAAGGCTTTGCAAAAATACACAAAGCTAATATTATAGCATAAGAAAAGCACCTTTTTCTCTTAAGTTCAGCAACTAGCATGAGGGTTGCAAGTGAATTGTCTCCATTAAGTGGGTATTTTCATTTTTGCTGGTTTGCAGTTGAGAGTAAGGGACACATCATTTGGAACATACCTAACCTTTAAGGGACACCCTGAAGGTTTCCTCCTACAGAATTCATTAAAGTCACTGTATTTTTCTATTTGAAAATTTCATGGTTGAATGAACTAGTCGTTTCTGTTTATTGCTAACCTGTATTCCTTCAAAACAACAGTTGGAAGTTGAGCTGAGAATCATTGTTGGCATATGCATCTATTTTCATTAGTAGGACTGGTTGCCATTTTTCCCGGGAGAAATAACTATAAATTATACTTCAGAGAACTTCTAAGTAAATATGTTCATGCCTCAGCACTTTAATGTGTTAATTAGCTATTAACTGTGTCAGTAAATTAGACCTGTCAAAACTAATGGCCTCCTTGACTCGGGTTTTACTACCACTTCTCTTGATGGTTTTCCTTATAAGTTTTGCCTCTAGGAAATGCGAGAGAGCAAGTTGAAGAGGTCTGCCCTCCCAAAGATAAACTCTAAAATAATTTGTTGGAAGTCACCTAAGACCTGAGCAGATGGGTGTTTTAAAGACGGGTAGCCTTTACTTTGCAAACCTCAGGTTTACCAATATTACCAGAATTACTTTTACAGTTGGCAGGGGGAGTTTATCCCCTGTTCTTTGCATTCCATTCAGAAAATCTGGCCAACAATTGTTCTTGTGAATTTCCTTCTTTTTATATGTGGAAAGTTAGCAAGTTATTGCTATTGATTTTCCTCTGGAGAGAGTTCTGCTTGGCAGGAAAGACCTGACCAAATGGGAGGCTTCTTTGTCTCTCTCTCTTCTTGTTCTTGGGCCAAGAGACCAAAGGAGGTCCTACTACCAGGGGAGGAATTGAGATGGGAGACCTCAGACTGAGAAACTCACAGAGTATTATAGTGGTGGCTACATAAAGCTTGAAGACTACTATTATTGGGTGGTCAGGAATGTCATGAGCATTATTACATAGGAAAACATAGAAAAATACATCATGACTTTCCTGATGACCTAATATTTTCCCTGAGATAGCGAAGACTGAATGGATTGGCCTGAGATTCTTCCCACGGCTCACCATCCCAGAAAATGCATTCTGTGTTCCAAGTGTACAACTTAACCTTTGGAGAATTCCAGATAAGCGGCATTTGCTGTTAGTAACCCCGCAGAATAAAGTAAATGTAAATCGTGGTGCATGGTGCATGATAAAGGAGTACATATATTTTATATATATGATATATGTATGTGAGATTATATATATACATATATACACACACACACACAAACACACATATATATATGGCACCCTTATATATATATAAGTATAATTTACTTATACTTATATATATATATAAGGGTGCCATCCCTGCCTCAGTTTTTTGTGTATTTAATGATTGTTGTCAGAAACGCCTTCGAATCATGGATTCAAATTAATTTCAAAAAAAATAATAAAGCCACACTTTCCCAGTAACTCCAGTCACAAATGATGAACCAATCTGGTTATTCTCTTTAATCTTGCAAGGGATCAAGAAGCCTCCTCTCTCTGCCTTAATTCTATTTAGGTGCTGCCTGGGGAAATTGAGGGTTGAAGTTTAAATAGAGCCAGTTCAGTATTCGGCAACAGAGACCCAAATAGCCCTACTGCATGATTATTTCTGCAAGAAGCAGCTAAAAATAAGTTCCTTTTGCTGTTTTTGGCAGCCCCAGCATGGGTGAAGTTATTTTCTGTGTGGAAATAGTTCACTCTATATGATAGAAGGTCATTGTCATGGGAGTTTGCATTTGTGGGAATCTAAACTAAATTACGATGAAGTAGAGCAGCTCTTGTTTGCTCTTCAAAATGGATTTTAGGAATAGGATTAAAACTGTGCATCATGGGGCCAGCAGGTGGCATGGTGGTTAAGGCACTGGATCCCACATGGCCAACTATGGTTCGCGTCCCAGACTCAGTAGCTTGAAAATCATGTTGGGCACAGAGGCCGGAAGGTGGTATGGTTAAAGGCACTGGACTCCCACATGGTTGACTGGTTCCAGTCCCAGACCTGGTGGCTTGCTTTCTCTTTCTTTCTCTCTCTGTCACTCTCTGGTCAAATTCAATAAAAAATAACAATAATAATTGAAGTTAAATAAAATAATTCTTTAAAAAAATCATGTTGGGTACATGTGCATGGGTGCTCAAAATCCCAGGAGGAGAATGGAAGAGAAGGGATTATGGCATGGCCATCCACCCTGGGGGGGGGGTAATTCCTCACTATCTCTCTCTTTTCCCTCTCACTGTCTCTCTCTGATGAGTGTACATGCTCCTTATGGTAAGAAACAAACAAACCGAAAAAAAAAAACAACAACTTTGTATCACATTCTTTCCCAAAGAAACATAAACTGGAGACCACCAGCATTTATGTTTAATTTTTTATTATCATGGTCTTAGATTTATTATTTGTGGACCAGTAGGTGGCGTGGTGGTTGGGGTGCTGGACTCCCACATGCTGACCCCATGGTTTGAGTCCTGGACCTAGAGTCCTGCTTTCTCACTTGCCTTTTTTCCTCTTTTTTCTTTTTTTTCCAGAAGTTTTCACTATAGGGCACGTGCGCTCATCAGACAGAGTGACATAGAGACAGAAAACGAGAAATCACCCCCCAGGGGGGATGGTCACGCCGCAATCCCTTCTCCTCCATTCTCCTCTCGGGATCTTGGGCACGCACACACACGCGCCCGGCGTGAGTTTTTTAAGCCACTGGGCCCAGGACGCGAACCGCGGTCGACTACATGGGAGTCCAGTGACATAACCATTACACTAACTGCTGGTTCCCAGCCTTTTTTCCTCTTTCTCTCCCCCTCTCTGTCTCTCTTTGGTAAGTGTGCATGCCCTGTAGCAAATTAAAAAAATAGTAATGATGATAAATAGAATTAAATACATTCTTTTAAAAAAATTGTCCTTTACTCTCAAGGTTTTGTCTGAACACGAGTAACAAATGACTTGCTGTATCTTGACACTTACAAGGGTTTTTTTTTCAACTATAAAATTTAATTCCAAATGTAAACCTGATGTATGTGTATGTTCATTTGTTTAACTAATATTTACTTACACCTAGTGTGTGCTACCATCACTAGTTCAGATTAAAGTATGGCTCTGTTTCAGACTGAAATGAAAATGACATATGTGGTAACGTTTATTAGTTTAAACCTATTAATTTAAAATGTGTTCATCCTGGACAAAAGCCAAAGTTTACCTTTGTCCTGGCTGTGCCAATGAAAATAGATGACTAAGAAAATAAATGGTTGCAGAAGAATGATCGCACAAACTGATAGAACATACTCTCCGGGTACATAGAAGGCATCGCTATAAATGTGAACAGTTAATAACTGTAAATTACTTTCCCACTAAACAGTGCTTTTCAAACCCAATTTCATTATATGTACCCTGAAAAATTATACAATGCCACTAAAATATTTCTGGATTTGGGATCCTCATGATTCATAATGATATTTCAGTTAGTCTCGTTTTTTTTTTTTTGAGAGGTTTTCGCTATAGGGCGTGTGCGCTCCCCAGACAGCCAGACAGACAGAGACATAGAGACAGAAAGCGAGAAATCACCCCCCAGGGGGGATGGTCACGCCGCAATCCCTTCTCCTCCATTCTCCTCTCGGGATCTTGGGCACGCACGCACACGCGCCCGGCGTGAGATTTAAGCCACCGGGTCCAAGACGCGAACCCCGGTCGACTACGTGGGAGTCCAGCGACATAGCCATTACGCTAACTGCTGGTTCCCAGTTAGTCTCATTCGTAGGTTTTCACTAACATTGGAAGGTTTGACCCTTTGGGAACGATTGCTGCCCAGTTATAAATTTTATAATATCAAAACTATTCAAACATTTACTTCAAAGGTCCAACATGCAAAGGAGATAGGGGGTTGAGATAGTGGTGGATGACGGTTCTCATAGTGAAGGGCAGTGCCATGTGGGGTTTCTAGTCTGATCGGTGATGGATTTCTGCCACTTACTAACCTCGGGCATTTCATGCAACCTTCGCATGCCTCAGTTTCCCTGTTAATAGCTACAGAAAAACTCTCAGGGCTCTAACCTGAGAATTATGCATAAACCACACTTAAAAGCATGTGGCATTGGTTAGTCTATCTAACAGCCTAATAGACTAATCTGTGCCATACGCTTTTAAATATTAGATAGAACAACTTGCTTTCTGTTTTTGCTGTCTTATCATAGGTTTTAACCATTACAGTTACAGTTCCAGAAAACACAAGAGTCTTCCAGGACCGTGATGTAAAATGAGGTTCTCTCTGGACAGCCGTGTGTTCTATGTTAACACAAATGCCCATTCTATTTGCAGGTTATATCCAGGCATGTAGAGGACTTATGATTGCTGCCGTCAGCCTGGGCTTTTTTGGTTCCATATTTGCACTTTTTGGAATGAAATGTACCAAAGTTGGAGGTTCAGATAAAGCCAAAGCTAAAATTGCTTGTTTGGCTGGGATTGTATTCATACTGTCAGGTAAGTAGTCACTGTCTTCTAAACAAGATAATTCCTGGTGTTCATGGAATCACACAGCCATTGTACTTTCCCTGTGATGCTTTTTCAGGGCTGTGCTCGATGACCGGCTGTTCCCTATATGCAAACAAAATCACAACGGAGTTTTTCGACCCTCTCTATGTTGAGCAGAAGTAAGTACTCTTCTCCGTTTGTATGTTTCCAGCTCACAGGAAATGTTCTACGAGAATGTTCCACATTGAAAGACATGAATTTCCTTTATGGCTTCTGAAAGTGAGACAAGTGGGGAGGAAAGAATGAGAAGGCATGAGGCTAGAACATTCAAACTTGGGGCTAGCAGGCGGTGTGGTGGTTAAGGCACTGGACTCCTACATAGTCAACCTTGGTTTGAGTCCCAGATCTAGTTACTTGAAAATCATGCTGGGCGCTGGGGCTGGCACATGGTGTGGTGGTTAAGGGTGCTGGATTCCCACATGGTTGACTGTGGTCCAAGTCCCAGACTTGGCAGCTTGCTTTCTCACATTCTCTCTCTCTCGCTCACTCTATCCCTCTCTGGTCAAATCTAAATAAAGTTAAATAAAATAATGCTTGGTGCATGTGCATGCATGCCTAAAAGCCCAGGAGAAGAATGGAAGAGACGGGATTACAACATGGCCAGCCCCCCCATGGGAGGTGATTTCTTTCTTTCCCTCTCCCTGTCTCTCTTGTACGAGTGTACACTCCCTATGGCAAAAACATAAAAAACAACAACAACAACAAAAAAAAAGAAAATTAAGACTTGCCTTGATTGTTATTCATCCAAAATATTTGCCAGATGCTAATCTGGGCCTTTAAACTCGCTCTGCTAACTACTGCCTTAACAAGCTCCAACTGGTAAACCTTTATAAAGAACCTCTATGAAATACAAAGATTTTAAAAGAAATCCTAGGGGATGGCTCTGATACCTGGATGTGACTGAGCACAGTTGCAGGTGAGTGCTTAGGCATTAACAGATTAGGTTTTTGTTGTTGTAGTTTTAACTATGGACTATTACCTTTTCTAATTTCCATAGGTTTATTTCTTTGGATTGAGAAAACCCCAGGGATACCCAATTAGAAATACAGAAATAATATATAAAATATTTTGTCTTACATAATATTCCCACATACATTTTAAGGAAGCCACATGTAGATTGCTATCAACTAGACTAGTAGTTTCAGGCATCAGATCAAATGTTAAAGATTTTTTTAAAGAATTATTTAATTTTATTAATGTATTATTATATTTTAATTTGACCAGAGGGAGAGGGAAAGTGAGAAAGCAAACTGTCAGGTCCAAGACTTGAACTGTGGTTGGCCATGTGGGAGTCTAGTGCCTTAACCACCATGCCACCTGCCAGCCCTGAGAATTTTTAAAAAGTAAATTATTGATGGGCCAGCAGATGGTATAGAGGTTAAGACAACCAGATCCCACATGACTGACTGCAGGGTTTGAGTCCTGAACCCGATTGCTTGGAAAATAGGTAGGGTGCATATGAGTACATGTGCCTAAAATCCCAAGAGGAGAATGGAGAAGGTATCATGGCATGGCCATCCCTACTGGAAGATGCCTTCTCACTTTCCCTCTGTCTCTGTCTCTGCCTTCTCTCTGGAGAGCACACATGCTCTGTCACAACAATTAAAAACAAAAAGTAAATTATTGAAATATCTGGTCAAATGGACATTACTTTTTTTCTCATGGATTTAGGACTCTTCAAGAAATCACTTTTTAGTATAATTTATGCATAAATAGTAAATGCGTACATCATAAAATACAATGAAAATCATAGCCAACACATGTTGAGCCCCTTCCATGTGCGAAGCAGAGCATTCATTAAAAATTTAATTTTATTCTACTCTGTTTTATTCTTAACACTATCCTTATGAAGTAGCTTTTCCTGGTACTCCTCTTTTATTTTATTTATTTCTGTAATTGCCAATTGGCGTGTGTACTCACCAGAGAGGGGGAGAGAGAGTGGAAAGCATCCCTCCCCAACAGGTGTTACCACATTCAAATCCCTTCTCCGTTTCCCCATTCTATTGTGATTTTGGGCAAACACAGGCACTTGGTGGTTTTTTTTTTTTTGAGAGGTTTTTGCTATAGGGCGCATGCGTTCGCCAGACAGACAGAGACATAGAGACAGAAAGCGAGAAATCACCCCCCCCCCAGGGGGGTGGTCACGCCGCAATCCCTTCTCCTTCATTCTCCTCTCGGGATCTTGGGCACGCACACACATGCACCCAGCGTGAGTTTTAAGCCACCGGGTCTGGGACGCGAACCGCAGTCGACTATGTGGGAGTCCAGCGACATAGCCATTACACTAACTGCTGGTCCCCCTTGGTGTGTTTTTTAAGCCACCAGGGCCAGGATTTGAACTACAGTAGGCTATGTATAAACCAGTTCCTTTATACCACTTGACTACAGAGCTGGTGCAGTAGTTCCCCCTTCCCTTTTTTTTTTTTTTTTTGGAGAGATTTTCACTGTAGGGCATGTGCGCTCACCAGAAAGACAAAGAGAGACAGAAAGTGAGAAATCACCCCCCAAGGGGTATGGCCATGCCGCAATCCCTTCTTCTCCATTCTCCTCTTGGGATCTTGGGCACGCCACACACGTGCCCAGGGAGAGTTTAAGCCACCGGGTCCGGAACTCGGACCACGGTCGACTACGTGGGAGTCCAGCGACATAGCCATTACATCATCTGCTGATCCCAGTAGTTCCCTTTTTAAAATTAAAGAAAGAGATCGAATAATAGGTCCAAGGGAATTTGGTTTAAACTAGTGGCTGCCTGAACAATGATTCAAACCTGGAGGTTGGACTTTCTAGGATGCTTGTTCTAAAATGCGTACTTTAAAATATTTTACCACTTTGTAATTTTTGTGACACTATGCAATGTATACTTCCATCAAGGGGGTTTCTCTTGTATGTTTTTAAATAGTTTTTATTCGGAAATTTTATTAGATAGAAAAAGTGACTGTTATAGACTCCATGTAATTTTTAAAGTTTGGAGAGGGTGCGTATACTCACTAGAAAGAGACATGCGGGGGTGGGAGTGGGTAGAAAGCACCCACCGTGGGGCGTGGTAATGCCACAGTCCCTACATTTCTCCATCTGTGAGGATTTGGAGCACCCATGCACGTGCGCCTGGCATATCTTTTAAGCTGCTGGGTCCAGGATTCAAACTGTGTAGTTGGCCTGGTGGGAAATGAGATCCCTTAACCACTAGGCCACAGGGGTGACTCAGACTCTAATGTAAATTTTATCCCCTGCCTATGTTAGGAGGAAAAAATAAATTATTTATAAATTTTCTCTCTCTTTTTTTTTTTTTTTTTGGTTATTTATAAATTTTCTCTCTCTCTTTTTTTTTTTTTTGTAATTTTGCTTTTGGGCACCTGCACTTGCCAGGGGGATCTCTCTGAGAAAGAAAGAGAGTGAGAGTAAAAGAGGGAGGGAAAGTGAGAAAGCAGCCCTCAGTGGGAATGGCCATGCCTCAATCTCGTCTCCATTCTCCTCTTGGGATTCTAGCCATGAACATGTACCTGGTATGGTTCTCAACTGCACAGGTAGCCATGTGGAATCCAGCCTCTTCAACCACTGGGCCACTAGCTGGCCCTCTCCTAACTTAGATTTGCACAGAGGTACATGACACCAAACACTGAAATGAAAACTGAGACTATACCCTTGAAGATTAGAAACATTTGAAAACACTTAAGTGAAATATTTTATTTATTTAGGAGAAGTTTTTGCTGTAGGGCACGTGCGCTCACCAGAAAGGCAGAGAGAGACAGAGAGACAGAAAGTGAGAATCACCCCCCAGGGGGGATGGCAACGCTGCAATCTCTTCTCCTCCATTCTCCTCTCAGGATCTTGGGCACGCATGCATGCGCACCTGCGTGAGTTTAAGCCACCAGGTCCAGGATTCTGTGGTTAACTACATGGAATCCCAGCGACGTAGCCATTATGCCAGCTGCTCGTCCCAGTATTTAAATAATACATTTTTGGGGCTAGCAGATGGTGAAATGGTTACAATGCTGGACTCCCATATAGTTGACTGCTTTTTGAGTCCCAGACCTGGCAGCTTAGAATTCATAACAGGTACATGTGCGTGCATGCCCAAAATCCCAAAAGAAAAATAGAGAAGGGATTGCGGCAGGGTAATTTCTTATTTTCTATCTCTCTGGCAAGCACATGCACCCTATAGCAAAAATCTCTCTTAAAAAAATACATTTTCATTTCAGGATTTGCTATCATAAATGCACCACAAAAACATATTCCTTGGGGTTTATTCTGTAAACACATTGATAACTTTTCTGGATTACCTTTTTTACATCTGTGTTTTAATTTTCCTGATAATTATTGAGATGGCTTGGGGTTTATTTTATAAACACACTGATAACTTTTCTGGATTATCTTTTTTTTTTTTTGAGAGATTTTCACTATAGGGCGCGTGCACTCACCAGACAGATAGAGAGAGACATAGAGACAGAAAGCGAGAAATCACCCCCCAGGGGGGATGGTCACGCCGCAATCCCTTCTCCTCCATTCTCCTCTCGGGATCCTGGGCACGCACGCACACACGCCCGGCGTGAGTTTTAAGCCACTGGGTCTGGGACGTGAACCGTGGTCGACTACATGGGAGTCCAGTGACATAGCCATTACGCTAACTGCTGGTTCCCTGGATTATCTTTTTTACATTAGTGTTTTAATTTTCCTGACAATTATTGAGATAGCATAGTAGTTATATACAGATGAAACCAGATTCCACATGGCTGATCAGGGTTTGAGTCCTGGCCGTTGGCTTGAAAACCATTCTGGGCATGCACATCTGTGCCCTGGATCTTGACAGGGTGTAGAATTGGAGGGAAAAGGATTGTGGTGTGACCAGGTCCTATGGGGGGGTGGCGATTTTTTCCTATCCTTCTCTTTCGTTTTTTTCTTATGTGTGTGTATGCATGCACACAGACTGACCTTAAAAAAAATGACTGATGTCTTTGTCCACATCTTAAAAATAACATGACTCTTTCCTCAAAAGGTCAAGGATAATTTGTGTACACAGAGTGACTGTCTTTGTGTGAATGTTTTCCGTACGTGCTGTATGCTCAGTCACTTAATCCAGTTTTATGCCATTGGAACTGCTTATTCGCCTTTCAGATTTTGA